CCTCTCTGTCTTCTAGTAGGTGCTGTTGCCTTGGATGCTGTTTCAGCCAGGGCACAGTGAGAGCAGCACTTACTACTCTTCTGAACGTTCTTTTCCAGTTCAGAGAGACAGGCATCCATGTACCTTCTGCTCAGCCTCTCTGCAGTGTTTGATATTACACATCACTTCTAATCCTGCCTGCAATCAGTTATACAAAAGAGCAATAATCCTCAAAGAAAATAGAAACACAGTCCTGTTTTCCCAAGTTTTTGCCCACAGCACGCCGCAACAGTCTGTTCCTCTCCTTCTCCTGATTCATTTTCCTTTCCCTCATTGTTTAACTGTTAAACAAAGACAGAGGGAAAACAGATATGTCAAAATGAAGCCATCAGCCTGAAGTCTCTGCAGATGTTTGCATCCTAAGGGAAAAAACTTATTTCCAGTTTTCTCTATGCTTGTTCTGAATGCATGTTTAGATAGAGAGCATCTGGCTGGAGTCAAATTGTGGCAACATAGGGCAGTAGTGGCTGAAAGAAGGAAGCATTTCAAAGAACTTGCATCCTCCTGAATATACACCTGTAAACATCAGCCCTCAGACTTTGTCACCTCTCTCAATCTCATCTTTTCCATCTGCAGATGGCTAGAAGATTGTATCCCACATCCCACCAGAACTGGAAATCATGATTCATACAACCTTTGGACTCCTTGACTGCAGTTAACACCTAGGAGTGAAGCCACATAACCAAAGAATGCTCCAACTTCCACAGCATGTGTCAACCTGCCTGACTGATTCAACATGTCCCACCAAACCTCTCACACCAGGGCTCTGCATGCTACACTTGCTCCTTACTGTTGATATTCTGTGGTAATTCTGGAACTTCTAGTTGCACTCTAGCCTGGATATTCAGAAGTCATTGTGGGACTAAACTGAGCTCCTTCAAAGTGTCCATCTTCTTACAATGCTCTCTTTAAACTGAATGATAGATATGTTCAACACTAGTAGATGTTGCAAGAAGTCTGGACTCAGGCCATTCACTGGAGCTGCTGTTGGATAAAGTAACTCTTTGCACCAACAGATGAATCACAGAATCATAGAATCAACCAGGTTGGAAAACACCTCCAAGATCACTGAGACCAACCCTACCGTGGTTACTAGACCATGGCACTAAGTGCCACATCCAGTCTCATCTTGAAAACCTCCAGGGATGGTGAATCCACCACCTCCCTGGGCAGCACATTCCAATGCCTGATTACTCCCTCTGTAAAAAATCTCTTCCTAATATCTAACCTAAACCTCCCCTGGCAGAGCTTGAGTCTGTGCCCTCTGGTCCTGCTGCTGGTTGCCTGGGAGAAGAGACCAACCCCCACCTGACTACAACCTCCTTTCAGGGAGTTGTAGAGGGTGATAAGGTCTCCCCTGAGCCTCCTCTTCTCCAGGCTAAACACCCCCAGCTCCCTCAGCCTCTCCTCATGGCACTTGTGCTTGAGTCCCTTCACCAGTCTCATTGCTCTTCTCTGGACCTGCCCCAGCACCTCAATGTCCCTCCTGAACTGAGGGGCCCAGAACTGTACATAGTATGATGATACATCTTGCTATCCAGATTCAATGAATTCTTCTGCTTATACATATAGATATGACTAGGTAATCGAAACACTGTGGAAGTTCATCACACCATTCTCCCTACAGGCTGAGAATCAGGGACACAAAGAGAAGTATTTCAAATTGCAAATAGTTTAGGGAACACTCAGGTCCAGGTATTTCAAGGCACTTAGGAAAATTAAGCTTCTTTAGGAAAGGGAGTGTAACTTTTACCAAGATCCATGCTAACATAGTCTAGAAACACTTACTTCATCCACTACAGACTTGGAAAAACTGTTTCTGTATGCAGTATTTCGTGTAAGTCTATTATGGGATAATATTAAAGGGAAGAAAATATCCAAAACCACACAAAGAAATGGGCCTCAGACCCCATACTGATGAGCGGTATATGCTGCCTAGATAAGCAGATGCTACTGTTTTAACTCCTTGGGCTACTTTTTGGAATGGTGAAATCATGAGCTTTACAAACTCTGATTAGTTCTTATAGCTAAAAATAATCTTTGATAAGACATTTCATACTACAATAACTTTCTAGTAGTGCTAGCTATACGTTCCGATGTAGATACTTATTCCTTCACCAATTATTGCTGAATGTGAGTAAGACATATTAAAAGCATGTTACAAAAATGTATTTCCAGAGGGAGGTAACATCTGCTTTTCCTGTGTTACACTGCTTAAGTTGGTAAGGGCCTGTTCTTGCTGGCTGTGGAGCAGTACACACTTCACCCCATTAAGCAACACCATTGAGAACAGGAACAATATAAAGATGCTTCAAAATGTTAAGTATTTTGCTAACCCACTAAATGCTATACTGCTAATATATCTTCTAATATATCATCTTTTAAAAATATTTATACATGCACACTTAATTCCAAGTAAATACTCAGGTTATGGAGGCACATGCTGGAAAGATACTGGGATAACACTATAAGAAAGAGGCATGTAATTGTGTTAGCTTGGCATTATGCTCTGTTTTTGAAGCCTGGTGTTTGTGTCAATGCCTGTGTAAGGACCACATGTGTTAAAACGTTCTACTACTCAGAAGGCATGACAGGCATCTGCTCCCTTCAGGGAGAAGGCTCTTGGTTGGGAATCCCATTTTTTCTTGCAGTATAATGCTGGACCATTTTACAGTATCAGAAGAGCTCCCCTGTGATGCAGCAGTGCAGGAAGCTGTTGCTCCACAACTCTGATATAGATAGCAATTCTTATCACACAGATTATACTTTATCAGAGATTTAATGTTCATTCATTGTGTTTGCATTTTCAGAAGTTTTAATCATCATTAAAGACCATCTCAAATTAGATTCTGAAATGCTATCTTCAGTAAATCTCTAAGAACTGACTCAGTGAAATGAACAACCTATTCCTAGCTCTGTTAGTCTCCCCCAGAGCTCTGGTCTTCTCAAGAACCCTTGTTTTTCGCTACCCAAGTTGTTGTCTCTTGCTGTGATATATTCCAGGGTCAGAAGTTAAAAAAGATTTAGCTTGCACATCTGAAACACTGAAAACAGAGTGAATGGAGTCAAGACACCACTCATACAAACACAGAACCAGAATCTACTGTAATAGGCTAAATGATGAGACCCTTGGCAAATCTGATAATAACAAAGTTTAATTTTAATTTCCGTTGCTGTCACTGAATTATTGATTGAATTCTTTAAGAAAAAGAGTAAAAAGCTATTTTTGCTATCAAAATAGTGTGTGGTGAGATAGGGGGATTGCAAATAAAGTGAGATTTCCTATTTTATATAATCACTGCCTCCAGCATGATGCTAAACCCCACTAAGCAAGTAAACTTATTGGCAAAACACATTATAAACTGAAAGGCCACTTAAACTATTCCAACTTTAAGCTGCTATTTTTGTGTCCCAAATTGGTTGGTACATTGAACAACCAAGAACTGAGTATCAGCTCATCACTCCTTGGCATACTCATAAGGGAGAAGTGAGGTTTGCTTATTGATGGCCTGAGCCTTCCCTGGTGAAAAGAAATGCCAAAATGCTCACAGTGAGGAAAATCAGACTCTCATTATCTGGAGAAGGGAAAGTGAACAACAAAACCTTCCCTCTACTTGCAATGTTTCTCCTTTTTTTTCCCTACTGATGGACAAAGATATCAAACTCAAAAGAATTAATTAATTTTTAAACTATATTTGATATTTTCCCATTAAATAGACTTTATCTGAAAAGATAATTAGGATTTCTTTTTCCTCTCCCACTGCTTTTCTTTCAACTTTTATTTTCCGAGTAGCAAAAAGCAAGATAAAAGGTGATATGGTATTACCCTCTTTGTAGAAACAAATGAAGTAAGTTATTTTTGATATCTTCATCAGCTGGAATTGGCACAAGGCCTCTAAGCACGACTTTCTAGTTTGGATTTATCCATATTTGGACCTGTCGTCACTCAGATATCTGGCAACTAAATTATCTGGATGACAACCACAAAACTACTGGCACAAAATGGGGAAAACCAAACCAAAACAACCACCCCAAAACCTTCTTAAAAGCAGAACGTGCTTGTGCAAGGCTTACACAAAGCAGGTGGTTCCACAGTAACACCCAGTTATACTCCTAGAAGTGATTCAAAAGCACAGACTGGCTCCATGAGCCACAATTTAATTGATCATAAACTCTGAACTCTTCTAGTACAGACAAAGGAATGAGGCTTTTCTAAGCACTGCAGAGCTTTCATTTAATTTAAAAAACACGAGGTCATTTTGCCATGGGTCTTTATCAGCACAGCTGTACTGAAGTCAGCTTGGAACAAGGCTTTGATTTTTATACCAGGTTTGGGGATACAAGAATGAAAAAGACAAAAAAAAATGTGATCAAATAATAATTCTGAAGATATTCTGATGATTAAATGTCTTAAAACTTTTTTTTAAAAAAAGAATAATTAAAAATTGCCTAACAAGTTGCACCCAATAGGCCTTTCAAAGGCTGGTTTTGGAGAAGAAAACTTCAGGGGGAAGGAGGTAGAGGTCTGCAATTTCCTTAAAGTGACAAATCTATGAAGTTTTGGGCCCCTCACTGCAAAAAGGACACTGAGGCACTGGAGTCAGTCAGCCAAGGACATCAAGGTTAGAAAAGGTCTGAAAAACATATTGTATGAGGAAGGGCTGAGGGAACTGTGTTTGGTTAGCCTTGAGAAGAGGCTCAAGGGTGATAATGGCTCTCTACAAGTCCCTGACGGGGGTTGGAGGGAGCTGGGGGATGTCTCTCCTGCCATGGCTGCAGGGAGAGGGAATGGCCATGAGCTGAGACAGGGCAGAGTCAGACTGGATGTTAGGGAAAATGTTTTCATTATTAGGATGTTCAGGCACTGAAATATTGCCCAGGGAGGTGATGGAGTCACCATCCCTGGAAGTGTATAAGAGGTGTCTGGATCTGGCAGTGCAGGATATGGTTTAGGGTTTACAGCAGAGAGGCAAGGCCAATGGTTAGACTCGATGATCTTAGAGGTCTTCTCCAACCTTGATGATTCTCTTACAGTAAGTTTTGTTTCTGGCAGGTTCCTTTTGTTTACCTCACACTTTTCCACTGCTGGTTGCTGCCCGCACTCGGAACTGTTCCCCGCCACAATTCCAGCCCGCAGGCTCTCGCTGTCGCCCGTGCCCTCTTCCATGGAGTAGGTTTTGGAGTGATTGCCATGGTGGTGTGAGGGACTGCGACTCTGTGCCAGGCTGAGCTGCTTGCGAAGCACACGGTTCTCCTCCTCCACCTCCCGCATGCGAACTTCCAAACTCTCGCGTTCCCGCTGGCTCGACGCCGTGTACTGAGGACTGTGGGGCTGGGACTCAAGTGGGGACAGTGACACTGGCTTCCCATCTGCAAGAGAAGGAAACAAACCACTGCTGTCAGAAGAGACTCGAAGCTGAGTTTTCCTGTAATGTCAGAGTCGTGAGTCAGGGATGTGTTTCAAATATAGCCATGTTTTATGCAGACTTGGCACTTCAAGGCAATGCTCAAGTGCATGGTGCACTTGGACAAATGCTAAAGTGCTATGAGCTACAGGTCCCACTGATTTTAAAACTACACTAAAAGATAAGCATGTGTTTCTTTTGTTCTGCATTAGGGCTGCCTGCCAGTCTCTAGTCTGGGAAGACAGTCAAGAACGTGAGGATTTAATTCAAAGACAATTAATATACAGTTAAATATATTTTAGAAAGACATGCAAGATGAAATAATTTCCCTATTCCCCATTTCATGACAGCATTTTGGCATACATTTTGTGCCAAACAGTAGCCCCAGCTGATTCACATGTGAGGAGCAGATGGGTTTTATTCAGTACCATAGTATTATGTGCTTACTGAGAGATAAGAGGTTCAGAAGGACAGAAATGTTCAATATATATGTGGGTCAAATTCTGGAAAGTATTTTGGCTGAAAAAGACACAAGGGAATTCTGAAAAAAAGTAAAATGGTTCCATTCAACCTCTTCAAATAAAAAGCTGTGTTCCAGAAATATGAAACTGATATTTTCTTTATTCAAATAAGCATTAGAAATGAGCTAAAGTAGAAAAAAAAAGAATAGTTACCTGAAACTAAGGTCCATAATGAAAGCAAGACATTCTACCATCACGTCTCAGTACATTATTGCTACCAAATGGAGCAAAGAGCAATGCAGCTGATGTGTTTTCAGAAGAAACATATTTTCACGTAACTTTAATAAAGATCTAACTATAAACACACAGAGTACAGATGCTTAAAAGCTGGTAAAACAAACCTCATGCTAAACTACTGCTCAAATATGTTCCACCAAAATCAAACTGAAATAAAACTAAATACAGTGAGAATTGTCCAGTGTCACAATTAGCAAGATGTTCCTTTACAGTGAAGATAGGCATCTTATACTAATGCATTTCTCTGATATAACTTTTGATTTGCATGTATGAAATCATAGAATCATAAAATCATTGAGGTTGGAAAAGATCTCAATATCCACCAGAACCGCTGTTGTGTTCACCATTAAATCATGCTCCTAAATGCCACAACAATGGTTTTTTTACTAACTTCCCAGACAGCCTGTTCCAATGTCCGACCACCTGTTCCTTGAAGTCATTTTTCCTCGTATCCAATCTAAATCTCCTGCGGCACAACTTGAAGATATTTCATCTCACCCTGTCACTTATTACCTGGGAGCAGAGACTGACCCCTACCTTGCTACATCCTCCTTCAGGTAGTGGTAGGGAGCAGTAAGGTCCCCCTGAACCTCCATTTCCCCAGGGCACACATCCCCTCAGCCTCTCCCCATAAGACTTGTGCTCCAGATGCTTTACCAGCTCTGTTGCTTTCTTTGGACTTGTTCCAGCACCTCAATGCCCAGAAATGCACACAGGATTCCAAGTGTGACCTCAGCAGTGCTGAGTACAGGACAATATTTGCTATTTAATGATTTTTCCAATGCAGAGAGTCCCTTTGGTTTTAATAAATGAATACCAGCTTGAGTGGCTTACAAAACGGAAATGCTGCAGCTATTGTTTAGCAGTTCCCCCTAACAAGTACATTTCTCACCTGCCGACTCAAAACTGTCTCCCTGCTAAAACACCTGCTCATCACTTGTTCTCTTCCATTGTTTCACATGTACATGAGTGGTGAACAGTCCCGTAAAATCAGTTCATGAAAAATAATAGCTATAGAAATCAAAACCTCAATTCTAAATTTATATAGTTGAGGTATACACACTTCCTGTTATATATATAAATCACTATCCTGGTTTTTAGACATCATTTGGATAGATAACTTGCATTTTCTTGCAGACTTTCTCCTGCAAAAATTTTCTCATTAATTATTTTTACCACTAGCAAAGCTTATGGATAATTTTTTTCTTCTTCTTTTGTTTTCTTTCAACTGGGTTGGAAAAGATCTCCAGGATCATCAAGTCCAACCCTACCATGGTTACTAGACCATGGCACTAAGTGCCACATCCAGTCTCCTCTTGAAAACCTCCAGGGATGGTGAATCCACCACCTCCCAGTGCCCGATTGCTCTCACTGTAAAAAACCTCTTCCTAATATCCAACCTAAACCTCCCCTGGCACAGCTTGAGTCTGTGCCCTTGAGACCAACCCCCACCTGACTCCAGCCTCCTGTCACGGAGTTGTAGAGGGTGATAAGGTCTGCCCTGAGCCTCCTCTTCTCCAGGCTGAACACCCCCAGCTCCCTCAGCCTCTCCTCAT